CCCCCCCCCCCCCCCCCCCCCCCCCCCCGAAAAAAAGGCTACCTAAAAATAAAAAAGGAGGTAAAAATTGTAAATATAGTATGCAAACACTCCCTAAAAGCAGCAGAAATTGCTAAACATATGAAGTGAGAAAAAGGTAACTAAAAGTTAAAACTAGCAAATGACTAGTAGCTAAAAGCTAAATATGTCAGAAGGCTAAAAGTTAAAAAAAACTTGCTAAAAGGAGCAGAAAAGTAGCTACAAAAGTTAAGATAAAAGTAGTGTCACTGCCCGATCCGTCCCAGAAACATGATCCTTACCATCAGCTCATTTGCGCATGCGCTAAAAGAGATACTTTCGAGGACTTTGTTTTTAGTATGTAGCCTTTTGCTAGACTGCTTGATGACAGACTAGATTTGTTTTCAGTCTTATGTCACCTACAGTGTTTCATAGAAAGGGAAACATTTGCAACAGAAAAAAAATGTTGATGGAAACTGTCCACAGAATGATTAAACTTGACTGGTTTCTGTTTGAACATAAAAAGGTAAAAAAATCTTGTGATTGATAATAACTACGATATAAAAGATCTTTAATGTGGGTTTGTTGTAGTAATAATTCTAATTAATGTGTCCAGTGTTAGGAAGAAATAGCCCAAATATATCTGGGAGCTGTAAGTTGAGTGCAAATGCAGTAAATGGGCAAAATAAATAAAATATTTTCTTTCACAGCGAAATTATCAGTGTTAAAAAGAAAAGACCAGACAAAGTCAATACGTGATCATTTGTTTGAGTTGTAAATTACCACTGGCAGTTTTTTCTACACTTTACATTTGAGGTGTTTGTTTTGAATAATTGTTGGCATAACTTACTGTTGTTTATTTCTTCTCACAGTGATTTAATCATGCAGGCAGATCTACTTCACTTATATAACTTACAGTGGTTCTTAAYCTGGGTTCGATCGAACCCTAGGGGTTCGATGAGCTGGTCTCAGGGGTTCGGCGGAGCCTCTGCCATGGAGGTAAAGACACACTTGTGTAAAGTCGTGATGACACGCCCTGCTTGGCCATCACTTGCTGCAG